TATTTGAATCTGTGCTAAAAATAAACAAAACATAAACCAAAACCAACACAAACTGCAGAACATCTTATTTTCTAATAAAGCAACAAGAAAATACCATACTTCAAGAGTTTCTTATTCAGTTCTTCACAGAGGAGTGCCCTTATCACACTCTGCCTCCCAGGTAAAGCCAGAATGCAGGAGCAGGAATAGACGAAGATGCTGGCTACCCCCATGTCCTCCCCAGAGGTAACTGAGGTAACACAACAGTGATTGCCCCCAAAGCCTGCAGAACTGTGACATGATTCTTAAAAAGGATGGAATGAATAATAATAATAATTAAAAAAGACTCTTATCTGGCAACCTCAGTTGCCCTTTTTCTTTCCTCTTACCCACTAAAATAGTACAAAGTCTGTTTACATATAAACATTTATATGTTTATTAAGGAATGTTTATATGACCTTAATAAACATTCAAATGTAGATGCATTTGGGGAATAAGGAAGTACAAGTATTATTCATTTCCCAAGTCTGTAGAACAGTTCATACAAAAACTTCAAAAAAAAAAATATTAAAGAAACACAGAAGGAAAGATTAGAAAAGAAACATGGAAAACAAGTTTCTTGAATTTCAAGTGTTTAAATATCCTGGTGAGCCTAGAATGATAATGGTAGGTGTTTCACAATCAAATAAGCACTGCACTTGTTATCCTCCCACTGTTTTACTCACTTTTCTTAAGGAATATACTGTTTGGTGTTTTTGTTGTTGTTGTTTTTTGTTTTGTTTTTCTTTTGAAATAAGCTTTTTCCCTACGACCACCAAGCCTTTTCTGGAAGCAATGTTAATTCACTTACTCTGTATCAGCCATTTTCAGTCATTCATGTGATCATAACATGATCATATCATGGTCTAAACTTTTGGGCAGACCTGTGTGGTGCCAGGAGTTGGACTTGATGATCCTCACTGGTCCCTTCCAACTCAGGATATTCTATGATTCTATGATTACAGAACAACGGAACCTGCAAGATAGTTTTGACAATAGTTTTCTCCAGGGCTTGACTCCAAGTCTTTGTATTTTCTGAAGGATTTGTCCTCCCTCGTCCCTTTTTTCCCTACTTGGCTTTCTATTTTACTTGACCCTGTATTCTGAGACAGCCTTGCATTAGAATTTATCTGAAAGTGCATCCAATGAACAGGAATAAAACAGGAAATCTTTCTCCACCACAGAAAACCATACAAACCCCACAAAAACTAAGGCTTTGAAGGAAACTTGGAAACACATCTCCTGCTTTAGTTCACTTTTCTTAATTACTTGCTTTTGAAAAATTATTCCCCTTCTAGTTTGCATAAACAATTATGGACAACACAAAATAAACTCAACTAGATCAAGTTATTTTAAAACAAAACCTCAAAGTTATACTAGCCTTGCACCTGCAGGGAAAAGGATGAACAAATAAAAAGACATGGCAGTATTCTCTAAAATCAAACAACAGAACCTGTTGAATGAAAAAGGAAATCCAGATCTGAAGGAGTTTAATTTCATAATCATTTACTTTGCACTGAAAAGGTTTTCTCCTTCACATTTCAAAGTCAAGGATGCACTGGCTGCTATCAATTGCAAGCTTATGTATGAGTAAGAGGCAGTAATAAAAGACATACAGCACTGAGAGGTTAACAAATATTGAAATTACTAATAGCTATTAATGAATTATTACTACAATCAAACCAGGGAACTGTATTCTGAAACCAATTTATATGGATCAAAGTCTAATTTAAAGGATGTCACTACTATAGGTAGTGAGAAACAGAAATTTCAGCAATTAAGATTCTGGAAAGGCAATGAGAAAAAGATTAATTTCTATGAGCTATTTCATCAAAATCTGTAGGCAAAAATAAATGCAGTGTTTTGGTGTAATATACTCTTTCAGTCACTGACAACATAAAAATAATTTAAACGGCTTCACCTCGCAATTCAATGCAAGGAGACAGTTGTTTTAGTTGTTTTAATGACTTTTATTTTGACAAACTTTGAAAAAAATCAAAATATTTGCAATTATTGCATCAGCTGCAATAAAAAAAAAAAAAGTGGACACTAAGCAGGTTATCATGATGCGTGCCATTCACTTCAAGAGAAATGCCATAGAAAAAGTGTCTGCCAATCATACCTACTCAGAAGTCACAGGACCATCTTCTTGCTTGGAATCATTAATTTCCCCTGCCTCGAATCCAGTGATCCACAAGGCTTCTGAATTGAGCACACCTGGGCACCTGGTATGGTTGTGAGACTTCAGAATCATTTGCCCACAAAAGATTTCAGTTACCCTGATGAAAGCCAGGCTTCCTCAGTGTTAACCTTTCAAAGAAAACTAAGATATACTAGCCAGGTCCAAGTGCTCATCAACAGCCTCCACTGGAAAAATAAACTAGGAGTCAAGTTTTAGATACGATGAGATTACTAATCTAAGAGGTCAGCACACAACAGTAACAGTAACTCACAACAGATGACTCCATGCAACAACCCAGAGTGAATTAACAGCTTTGAATGAGCAGCTTCTAAGCGTAAGCAGGTAACTACTAAAATCTGAACTGAAAACTGGCCACTGGACAAGGTACAGGGTAGGCAGATTAGCTCAAAACATCTGTTTTTGTTGTTGTTGTTTAGATGCTGTCCAACAGACAACCAGACAAAAGAACAAGATTTGGGTGCATTACGCAGTAAGTACTATCAAGAAAGTGTGCATCTTAACTAATGCCAATAAATACACAATATCCAAAATCAATAAAATGTGCGTGGGGAATTGTTTTGTCTTCCCAGATCTTCACATGGAAACATCTCCTAGGCTATCTGCCACCAGCTGGCTACTTCACTGCTGAGCAGAACTGAAGACAGAAATTATCATCTTTTTATTGAAACTACATTTCACACATGATTGTATGTGTTGGAAATAGATGTGATTTGAACTGGCTTGGGTGCAAAGGATAAAGTTATTTTAATAATCACGTTCTGTCAGTGAAACATTAAATCATATATAAATGATACCAAGTGTTTTCTCACCTCATCATAAGCTACTGCACAAAAAGACCATGAAACTTCTGTCCTCAGAAGTTTTTAAAACCTGGTTGGACAAAGCTCTAGGCCACCTGGTTTGATTTCAGCACTGAGCAGCTCTGAGCAGGAGAGCTGATAAAGCTCCAACATGAACAAATCTGTGATCCGTGGTTGCCATGCATAAAGCTTTCATCACAAGCTTTTTTGTTTCAGTGAGCTACTTTTATTTCGGTGTTTGAAATCTTTGTAGATGAATACAATGTTTTAAAAGCTGCTCATAATAGAAATATACAATTTTAAGAATGTTTTCTTAATACACTTGAAGTAGTACATAGTTCCCTAGAAACAAGGGAGTCTTTGCCCCAAAGTGCTACATTGCTACAGAAAGCAGCCATTATATTGTACAACCACAGTATAATTTCAAACGGAATTGTTAGACATTCACTAAAAACATTTACTAAAAAAAAAAAAACACCACACATAACACTATACAGAATGCAGCATTTGGATTTAATCCCCCACCCCCTTTTTTTTTTTTTTAAACTTAATTCACCACCATTTTCTTTTTCAGACAAAAATAAAGCAGCTGTTTCAGACCAGACCACCAGATTCACTGTACTTTATCAGCAATGCGGAATGACACTCATCTGCAAAATCTTCCATATTCCTTCCTCCCCAGTCATACAGTAGGAATAAATAATTTAATGAAGTACTCATCAGCAGAGGGGAATAGACTATTAGTCTGTGCCTGCGTTCTTTTCCCCTCTCTTCCTTGAATCTCTTAGATGTGTATATTTTATAGCTTAGCAAAATAACAGATATATGAGCTTAAGAAAAAAAAGCTCCTGAGTATCTTCAAATTCATGCTCAGCATTGTAAAATTAAAAGTGAATAAAGAACTAGCATGAACAGATTGTTACAGCATTTGAGAAAGAACCAGAAGAATCATGCTGCTTAAGAAACTAGAAGAAAGGCAGTAATATTTCTCTCTATATCAGTAATATTTCTCTCTATATATACATATCTACATATAAAACAATCACTCTTAGAAAATCAGTTACCAGAGAATTTTTCAACCCCGCAAAATTAAACATCCATGAGCTTCTAAAATATACCTGCAAGCACGCAATCCTCATTTGCCAGTAAGCACATTTACATATATCAAATTACTTAACATAGGACCAAGCTAGTATGATTTGGCCCATTTCTCCAAAATGGGAAGGGCATTCTCCTAATCTGAGTGACCAGGGCAGATTTTTGGTTGAAAAACTTGAAGATTATCTAATTTGGATTGTACTAGAATCCTAGCATCAACAAGTACAAACAGAGAAGAAACTGGTGTCATGTCGGGTTCTTGTCCTGCTTCTAGAGTTTTTAATTAAATTTTTAATCAATGTAAAAGCTTTAGAAAAAGGCATCAGTACTGCTATGAAACATACAGAATGCCTGTGCCTGACCCTAGAAATGACACTATTTGCTTAAAGCTATGGGTGTTGCTGTTCTGAAGTGTATAAATGGTTGATACTATTTTCCTTCTGATTTTTTTTTTTTTTTATGGGGTTCAACTTCCATATACTGTCAACCTTTCTCTGAAAAAACAGCAAACAGCACCCTCCCCAGAAAGTAATTTACTTATTTACATTTCTCTTAAACCTGAAGCAACTTGAAAGGTATACAGGCAGTAAAGGAAAAAAAATAAAAAATCAAAAACACTAAAAAGTGTATTACAATAGAAAAATTTGAGATTCGCTTGTAGAATGGAGTGACTGTGGTTTCAGTCCAGAACACCCTCCTTTGATATCTGTCCCTCAGCAAAATGATGAGAAAATTGTCCAGCATATCTATGCAGTATTATTTCACTTTTAAGTAATTGCTATGATTTCTCAGAGTTGTCAAATCGACAGTTTTAGATTAACAGAAAAACTCTCACCCTATGCCTTTCTCACAACTATTAGACAATTGTTTATGTCTTGCAGGCTGCTGGTCTACTTGGCCCTGTGATCAACTGAAGAAATCCAGAGAAAAAGTACGGAAAGCATTATGCAGCAGAAAGTGCACAAAGAAGATCCAATTCACATCAATCTAGACAAGCAGTATTTCTGAAAGGCTCTGGAATTTCTTTTCTGGAGTCCACAAAACAAAAAGGATGAGAAGCACAAGTACTCTCTTCTGATTATACATATATCTTCTCAAAAAAAAAAAAAAAAACAACAAACAAGTGCCTGAAGATTTTATCGAAAATTAAATCAACTTTCTACAGCAGAAAACGAGACACTCTTGGTTTTGTAGCACTGCACCAAACCGTTAACCCTAAACAGAGAAATAGTGATTAATTAGCAATACTTATGCTAATAAGTGTACATCATCACAAATACAGTATCTGCTAAGTATCTGTTTACTTAGTGCAGCAAAACATCTGGAAGTCATTACTTAATTCCTTTTCATCATCCATGAAATATATCACCACTATGTAGGAGAAGAGAACACTGCTTGAATTTAGTGAAAGGACAACGACGCAACAAGATGAAAATAAAATATGCCTCTAGGGATCAGGAGACGGAAGAAGAGTGCAGGAAAGAAATACAAAATAAGTGATCATGGCTATTTTGTGCACCAGACAAATGGACTCTTCTTTCATTCAATTTATTACATCTAATTATCAAAATAATCTTTTTTTAAGCCACAGAAACTGCTACAAAATATCATTAAATATCATCTCTGAAACATCATTAAGTATCAACCACAAGTATCTACAACATAAAAGCTTTATATCACATCTTCCACATGACAGACTTTGTCTTACAAGAGAAAACAAAAAACAACTGTATATTCATAAATCTGTTGTATGCCCTTCGAGTGATGCAAGTTTTTATGACTACAAGGGTCTGCAAACTTAGCGATTCTCATTTATTTTACTTAATTCTTAAAAAAAAAAAAAAGTCCTCGAAGGTGTCACTCTAATCCTGAAACACCTTTTCCCAGATGAAGTTAAGGGTCATGATATCAACAAAGTATTGGGTAACAACGAGTAACTTGAGAGTAAACTGAGATTTAATTTTTCAAAGACCCATAAATGTGAAAAATAGGGTAAACCCTTCTAAAAATGACAGCAACTACCCTGCAAGAAGAAAAATAAAATTCAGTGAATTAGGATTACTGAATTCAACTTATTAAATATATATTTTTTCTTATCAAATGTGGTATAAAATATCAAATCTAAATGAACGTAGTGGTTGTCCTGGTGTCAGTTGGGACAGAGTTAATTTTCTTCCTAGTAGCTGGTATGGTGCTGTGTTTTGGATTTAAGGATGAAAACATTGTTGGTAATTTGCTGATGTTTTAGTTGTTGCAGTGCAGTGCTTACACAGAGCCAAGGACATTCAGCTTCTCATGCTGCCCTGCCAGTGAGGGGGCTGAGAGTGTACCAGGAGCTGGAAGAGGACACAGCCAGGACAGGTGACCCAGACAGGCCAAAGGGACATCCTTTGTTTTATTTTTGTTTTATTGTTTTTACAGTGGTGTGCTGAACAATAAAACTGGGAGGAGTTGTCCAAGGTGTGCATGGGGCTGTTACTCAGGAACTGGTTGGACATCAGTAGGCTGGTGGTGAGCAATTGTGTTGTGCATCACTTGTTTCCTTGTTTTTTGTTTTTGTTTTTCATTTCTTTTTTTTTCCTTATTAAACCATCTTTTTCTCAACCTATGAGTTTCTGCACTTACACACTTTCAATTCTCTCCTCTGTCCCCCTGTGGAGGGTGGTAAGGAACAGCTGTGGGTTGCTTAGCTTCCTGCTGGGTTAAACCACAACAGTGGCACTAAACTTGAATTCTGGGAAACTGCACAATAAAAAACAGCATACAAATCCCTAGAAAGAACTGGAAACAGCAACTGAAAAAGAAACATAGCTTTCATGAGCTCATTGCCCTGTAAAATGCCTAGAGAAATTCACAAGTTCACTCAAAATTATCTAACACAATGGTTCATTATGTCAGGTAGTCACATCCTTAGAAATCCCATGCATAGGCTACCAAAGAAATACAGGCTATGTTAACCAATAACTTGGAATCCAGCAGTGGCAGGCCTGACTGCAGGCAGAGGTCAAGCAAACCACTACCTTACAACCTCTAAAAAAAAAAATAAATCATGCATTCAACAAAAACTCAACACAGCTCATCAACACCTTGTTCTACACAAAAGCCAGAATTCACATCCCAAGACAGAAATAGCATAACAGAAAATGAATTTTATTTGTTGCTGGCATAAAGGGAAGAAAAGTAGATTGAAAATGAAAATTGCTGTCTCTTACCCAGCCAGTAAATGGCAGTATTCCTGGACCAGCCTCCTCTAACTGTGCTGAATCTGCTGTCTCTAAACAAAGATCCGACAAGTTTTCATGGATTTGTATGGAAGCCAGTCACTTTCATGGCACCTTAATACGAGATAACTCTAAATACAAAGTTCCTTCATCTTCACTGTTTCTACATCCATGTATACCTAAGCAGTGCCTCTATACATGGTCTTCCTCAATACAGAGGTCACCTCACTATCTGTAGAGCACCACTGTCTCCTTCCTCTTTCCTCAGATGGTGTGTAGATATTTAAAGACAATGAAGATTTGAAGTACTCTATCCAGGAATTTAAGCTCCTGGAAAATGACTATCCACTTCACCCCTACTACAAAGTAAGGGGGGAAAAAAATTAAAAACACCTTATGCACCATATAAAGAAATACAGTAAAACTTGTAGCAAATGAGAAGTTTTTACAGCAAAATGCTGCAGAACACTTATGAACACATTGCAGCTACACAGCATGTCATGTTTTCCTCTGCATCTGTACCAATTAATTTGCCTGTAACACATTAAAAACTCTGAAGATACCACGTATGCTCAAATCATATTTATTTCAATTCTTTTGAGGTTTCCTGCTTGAATATAGATGTTTCTGGAAGAGAAGATAGACAGGTAGCTTCTAGGTAGAGCTGGAACGAAGACACAAGGGCTGAGCAGGCACAGCACCTTTTGCTGGCTTCAAGGCTGAGGAAATGCACGGCTCACAGGCAGGTACCAGAGATGTCACTGATTGATTTAGGGCAAAGAAGCCTAACTCACTTCTATGTGGCTGGCCTCTAAAGCAAACGTTTCCTTACTGGCTGATGAGCATCCCAGAAGACACATTTCTCACTATTATAAAGGGTTTGCATGCTACTTAATCAAGCTGGGCAGCCAATAAGCATACATATGCTAATTAAGCATGTAGGTAATAGAAACAAAAAAGCTTCTTCCCAGTTGGTATCTAATCAAGTATCAAACATTTTGTCTACACACATAGCTAACTGTCAGCCTATGAACTACACAGTGTTATTTAACTTGGGAGGGCAATCACCAAAGTGGGTGCAGGCAGCAGCCTGTAAGTGAGGAGGGAATTAGGGAGACACAAGGGTGGCTATGGTAAGAAAGATGAGGCATGAGATGCTCAAGAATTACTAACAGAAAGAAGGGAAAGGCTGCAAATGCAGTAGGAAGGGGAGAATACAGCCTTACAGAACCTTTCATGGCCTATCCACTTAATTAGAAATTATTTACACACAGGAAAAATATGTAGGCAAAATACTTCCCAAGGATGTTGTAAATATTCTGAGACATGCATTATACATTGGGGAACTGGAGATACATTTATGAGCACAGTCAGATTTCAAATAGCATACTTAACACACACAAACACACACACAAAAAAACTTTGCAACTGCACTGTAGCAAAGTCAGTATCTATAACAGCATCATGAAGTGATGCACCTTATTATAAGGTCCAAGTGGGTTTCAAGATTGGTTTTACTTTTTTTTTTTTTCTCCTTAGTATCTTCTCACCATATTATGTACTTATTTCTATATGAAGATAACCAGTATGGTAAATCAGAATTGTCCAGATACACGCCAAACAGTGCGTCAAATGCTTGCCGTGACTTTACCAGGAACTCAGGCAGCAAGACTTGGTGGTCTCTCAGAAGTACCTACAGGATAGACCAGAATGCCTAGAGACAACCTGCCTGCTGCTTTGGGTGCAGTATAAATAGCATCAGAAATTTATAACCTGGCAAGGATGCCAGGCAGCAGTACCAGTTCCTATGCTGCTGTGGCACCCAGCACTGCCTGTCCCTGGATGCTCCTAAGTGAATACGTGCTCCAGCTCACCTGCATCAGTGGGCAACACTGCAAGGGCACAGATGGACACTGTGGCTCTTCATGAGCACACTTCTCTCTCTATGATTGAGAGATTTTAAACAAGAATTTTCTGTCCAAAAGTTCAGGATAACAATTGGATAATGGTTCTACAAAAGCACCTTCTTGAAAAGACACTGCTCGGGCTAAATGAAAAAATAAACTAGATCTACATGTCAATAATTTCAGCAAGATAAAAATAACCCAAGAGGATCAACTGAAAGCATAGATAAACAAGGGACTGATGCTTTAAATGTCACAGATTTGTCACAAAAGTACATGCTCTTCAAGAAACTCACTGGAGCAGTTCTTGTTTTTCCCTTATTTAACTTACAGAACTCCAGGAAATAAAATTTCATGGGACGACTTTCAACAAAGAAGTCCATTTTTGACAGAACTCCTAATGAAATAACTATATTAAACTTTACCACTCACATATGAAAACACATTCTAACTTCTGTGTTGTTTTTTTTGTTTGGTTGGTTGGTTTTGTATTGCTCTTCCAGAATGCAACAACTAAATGTTGTGGTTTTTTTTTTCCTAAACTTCTCCATTGTTCTTAATTCTACAGCGGATTTCTCACAAGATTTTAATAAAACTTTGTATTGAACTTATTACATAGCATGACAATATACAACCTATAGTTAGACACGTGAGAAAGGGTTTATCTCATATCTGGAAATAATCTAGTTAATGATAACAAAAGCCTTAACAAGAGAAGCAAGACAATTAATGGAAATTCTCCCCTGGTAACAGAACAGTGTGCTTTGGACTTGGGTGTTTCAACCAGTACAACCACTCAACATTGGGAATGACTCAACTGTCTCTAAGGAGCATGACATCTGTGATTATTATTGATAAATACGTTCTTGTCTTGGGCTGAGCGCATAATTTATTTCAAGAGAAGTGAAAAATCTTCTTTAAAATTAAATTATATCAGTCTCCACTCTGTGGGTTGAGCATTGTATGCACGTATGCACTCCCAGAGGACACACTGTACTAGGTACCCAACTGAATGTCCCAATAAAAAATTAAACGAGGACATATGTGCTTAACGGATTGGGCCCAGGGATACGTTTCCTTACACTAGAATAAGGTAGAATGTCTTTCTTATTCTATCGCTGCTTATTAGTAGCAAGGATGTATTAAAAATAAATGCTTATATAAAGAAAAGCCAAGTATTTATCATCTGTTCAACACTATGTCAAAACTCCGTCTTTTCCCTCAAACAAGAGAAATAAGTTTTAAAATAAAATATTGAAGAGGAAACTGTTCCTATCAATATTGTACTTCTGGTAATAAAGCCTGAGATTAACAAAATCGATTTAGAAGCCCAGTAATTTGTTCACGTCTCATACTATTTATCTACACTTTGCATTTCTTTTAATGTGTATAATTAAAAATCAATACAACCCATTTCACTAATTTCCATTCCTCTCTGCTGAACTTCAGCTGCAAACACTGAATAATGTTTTGAGAATGAAATGGGAAACCCTTGTTTTTGTGTCTCTTAGGAATAATATAGAAGTATCTGTGAATGCCTTAGCCTTGCTCAAATCTTGCATTTTCATCAAGTGAATGTTCATATAATGTTAAAATTAAATACACCTTCAAAAGACCATTTTAAAAGTCCACAGTGTTTTTAAAAATACTGTACTGGGTCTGGTAAAACCACCACAAATACACAAGAAAGAATTAAAAACAAGAGCCTAGATGAGATTGTTCTCTTAAATCCCTCACATATGCAGGTGACAGGGTGGGTGAAGATGACCTGAAACCACTGTGTCTGTCTGTTGGCCAGCCTGGCCCTTGGCAAAGGTGCCCACCTCCAGCTGCTCCAAGCCTCTGTGCACAATGCCTGCAGCTGGGCTCTGCCTTCCCTTGCTGACACACCCTTTTCCACCAGAACCGCGGAAGAGCCTCTGGGTTTCTCCTGGAAAGCTTGTAGTCAACACACAGGATGACTTCTTTCTATTTGTGTCCAACAGCTTGTTGGATGATAACAACAACACTGCAACCCATCAGGCACAACTAATAAAAGGTAAATTTTCAATCCACATAGAAACTATGGGACATTAACCTCCCACTATTGACATGAAAATGGCTGTGTCAGAATTGCCTTTCTTTCCATATGAAAATCCATGCCTTAATAGTGCTGTGGTGCTGTACTTCAAATGACAAACACACACAAGACACACAATATAAATACTCAACCTAAATTGCAAATTCTGAATCTATGTATTTACAGGAGAAGTGTATTGAAATTAATTAATTTGATGAAAACCTTTTCCCTGCATGACTGTTCAATGAACAATCATATACTTTAGTACGAGGGTTCCTTCCATCATTCATTTTCTTACCAAGACACTTGGACGCTGAAACAGTACCACTCACGCAGAAAGCACAAAGCACATGTCTCTAAATAACTACCATTTCTATAGAAGTCGTGACCAAACATTTTAGGTAAGTAAAACCACCTCGCTCTCTCTGGAATAAATGATGGGATGCAGAAAGTGTAGAGTTAAGGTAACAAGGTGCATAAGAGCAATCTGTGCATCAGGTTCCCCACCAGTAAGATGTGTCAGACATGACAACATACTGTTGCTTATTGTAGCTTTTCCTGTTGCTTTGCTCTCTGCCACGCACTTCTTCGATCTTTCCACAAATGCGGCCACCACTGCCTAGCAACCAAGGGGACATGATGGCAGAGAGCAAAATCCCCCACCCAGAGCTCATCCTGCTCCATCCCCACAGCTGCAAACTATCTTTTATGGCAAATTAAGAAGAATACATGTTATTTGTTGTTCTGGAGACACTGAGTGGGGACCTCAGAGGAGACTTGGGATGCACTGGGGTTTCTCTTCTAAGGGTGGAGACTAAGAAAGTATGAGATCAATGGGTAAAACAGTTCCCCGGACGCTTATACTAAATAAAAATAAATAAATAAAGAGGGGGAAGAAAGAGAGAGGAAGAGAGAGCAAAGAAAAGAGAAAGCCAAGTGCCGCAGCGATGGGGAGCAGAAGAGCCATCAAAAGGCAAGGGGATAAGGCAATGAGGCTGCCTCCCTTCACCCCCTGCCCCAGCCGCCCCCAGCGGCGGGCCGAGGGCAGGAGGGGGCCAAGGGATGCGCGAGCGGCAGCCAGGAACAGAGTCGGGGCACAGCCCCCCCCCTAGCCGCTGCTCACCTCTGCCATGCCACAGGTACGCGCCTCCTCGGTGCTGCGGGACAGCCGCTGTCCCGTTCACTCCTCGCCTTGCCTGGGCTCCCTTCGCCCCGAGCGCCCGGCTCCGCGCTGCAGCCACCGCCCCAGGAGCCTCGCCCGGCCCCGCCAGCGGAGGGAGGCGGCCGCGCCCCGCCACCACCGCGCCCCCTGGCGGCGGCCGCGCAGCGGGAGGGGCCGGGCGGGGCACCGGGGCGCGGCCGGGCCGCTGTGAGGACGGGGGTGGGCTGCAGGGGGCCGGTACCCGGGGATGGGGGAGCGTCCGGCTGCGAGGGGGCCCCGCGGAAGAAGGGGGAGCAGCCAGCGGGGGTGCTCGGAGCCGGGCGCACGGCAGTTTCCCGGCTGGGCAGCCGCCGGTACCGCGGTGATGGACAACAGGTCCCTACAGACCTCGGGGAAGTAGGCACCGGAACAGCATTAGGCCGCGAGACCCGACAGCTCTAGTTCTTAAAACGTGTGTCTGAAACCATTACGGATAGCTAGCTACAACCAAAACATTTCAACTTATCCACCCACCTGGGCTCCTTGGCACTTTCAACATCAGTGGCTCGTATTCCTGGAGGTTTCTGGCTATGGCCTGGGTATACCATCTGCACCAATTCCCCATCTGATATTCTTAGGACCTCTATTAATCTGCAAGACTGGATAAATTAATTAACTCTGTATTTTTTGTCTGTGATAATAACCTGAAGTCCCCTCATCTTCCTTAAAAGTAACTCTTTCCCTTCTTGGGAACTGGCAAAAATACATAAACACCACAGCCATGAATTTGAAAATGTGCAGATGTGATGTGTCTATTACACTCATATTTGCTTGCCCGCAATCTATCAATCATCCTGATGAAGCATGTGCATATGATGGGAGGAATTGGAGCCCTCACTTCTACCATTTTAGCACAGCTGTTGGTCATGTTTCTGTGGCATACTTGGGCATTTCTCCCAGTCTGGTTGTGTCAGATTTCATACCAGCCCCCAGCCACACAGAGCCTGCTTAAAACAATATCAATCGTCCTGACTGAATGTCAGAAGCCAACTTCTAGATTGCATCTCATATTCTCTCCATTTAAAACAAAACAAACAAAAACTTAAAAATTGCATTCTGTATTGTGCCATGTATTCCTTGCAAGGTACAGTAACAGTGTTTGATACTTTCGGTCTGGCTGCTCTGAGCCACGCATATTCTGAGCAGCTGTGACAAAGCACCAGAGGCAATCTTACCTTCCTTTGGTAACTACAAAGAAAATGCTTTGGTTTTCCGTAGGCATTTAATGTTGAGTGTTCAACTGTAAGAGATCATAGGCAAGAAGAGAATAGTTTTTTTATTCTTTTTCCTTTTCTCTCAGAGGGAAAACCAATGAAAGTTAAAACAAAAAGCACACACACACACACACACAAAAAAAAAAAAAAAAAAAAAAAAAGCTGGAGAGGGAGAGAATAGGATGACAATATCTTGTTTCCAATTTTTTTTTCTTTTCCTTAGCATTATAGTGCAGCTGTACAATCACTTTCTGAACACCTTGGCTATGTTGAAATCCAGAACATTTCCATGTCAGACTACATCTAATTTATTTATTTGGTCCCTGTCTTTATGCAGACCAAGTCTTAGTCACACTCTGTAACAATAATAAAGTCATCATTACTATTTCATACAAGTGTTAGGATCCTAACTATAATAGCTAATCACAATGTGAAATCTGAGGGACTTTATCAGGTGGTACAATCAATCTGTTTCTAAGGGAGTAGAGTGAATTGCAATAGTTAATGTCATAGCACCACTCAGTGTTCAACCTGGATATTGCTTCCTATTCCGTGCATTTCTTAGAATCCTCGAATCATAGGATATCCCAAATTCGAAGGAACCCACAGAGACCATCGAGTCCAACTCCTGGCTGCACACAGGACCACCTAAAAATCAAAGCATATGTCTGCAAGTGCTGATCAAATGCTTCTTGAACTCCAGCAAGTTTGGTTTGTGACTACTGCCCCAGACAGCCTGTCCCAGTGCCTGACTACGCTCTGGGTGCAGAACCCTTCCCTAACCCCCAGCCTGACCCTCCCCTGTCCCAGCTCCATGCCGTTCCCTCGGGTCTTGTCGCTGTCCCCAGAGAGCAGAGCTCAGCGCCTGCCCCTCTGCTCCCCTTGTGAGGGAGCTGCAGGCCGCCATGAGGCCTCCCCTCAGCCTGCTCTGCTCGGGGCTGAGCAAACCAAGGGCCCTCAGGCACTCTGCATACATCAATCTCCTTCCCACCCTTCCTCATGTTTTTTGCTCTCCTTTGGTCAGTCTCTAGCAGTTTTAAGTCCTTTTGATATTGTTTCACCCAAAACTGCACAACTGTACTTGAAGTGGGGCTGCACCTGCACAGAGTCCTGCTGTGTTGCCACCTGAGAAACACAGTGACCAAACTGTTTATAATCCCATTAATCCCACACAAATAGCAATGTGCACCATTAGAGAAGGAAAGCATGGACACATATATGGTCAATATAAACATACTGGAAAAGAAATGTCCAGTACCTATTGATATAAATGAGCCAGATGGAAGTATTAACTGCATGGAAATTGCTATGGCTTATAACCAGACACAGCATTTTTTCTCCAAAAGCTCAGAAGCAAATTTTGACCCTTACAGTCCCTTAGCTACTTTCCTACTTACAGTAGATCATCCTGAAGAACAGAACAGACTTACACTTTGCCCTCTCCTGCTGCCAAATAACAGTATTACCCTATAATGCATTACCGGTCTAACTTTCCTTTCATGGACATGAACAAGAAAACGCTCAGTAATTGGCTTTCAAAGGTCTAGCCACTTGCATCACATTCCCAGCTTGGCATTGGGCCATGCTGAAATCACAGTGCTTGTATTAATGGTTTCCTCCCAAGGTCTGGATAGATGTGAAATGAAAATAATTCTGTTCTGTTCTCCAGCAATCCTTGTTAATGTCAGTCATGAAATACTGCTTTCTAAGGAGCTGCCTCACTGGTGTCTCAGCAAGATGCTGATCTTGGCTCACTGCAAAATGCCTGTGAACTGTCAGAAAATTTTATCACTGGAATTTTTTAATGTGTACTTACATTAATCTTAGTTGAGTGTTGCCCTTTTTCTTCTAAAACTGTACTCTCTCATTCCACTAATCATACCATCCAGTTGCATGTTCCTTTCTGGCATTGTAATACCGACCATCTCCTGGCTTTTCTTTGCAGTAGCTCCTCCTGCACATTAAGATAAGTCATTCATATCACAGAATCACAGAATTTCTAGGTTGGAAGAGACCTCAAGATCATCGAGTCCAACCTCTGACTGGCATCCTACAGCAGAATTGTCCTGGGTGCAAACTCGTTCTATGACAGTGGTCAACTTCAATGCAAGATTCGTTTTGATGGTGTTGAGTCAGTATAGCACAGAAAATATACATGCCAAAATATTCAACAAAGGCAAAGTGCTATGTCATGAGACACTGCTGTTGTGGCCCCATGGACCACAGGTCTAGCTTCAGCTGATTGATTCTGATATGTTATTGCATCAGGCTGCTTACTAACTGTAGAAAGTGACGTGTTGGTCCCTCTGCGATTCCTTTGCTCTCCCCCATGGCTTGTGCATTCTGGCTTGTGCTGCTGAGCTAGTGGACTACTAGGTATAGTAGTATAAAGATATATATATATTTCAATATATATATACATATTTCAATATATATATATTCTCTATATATGTATTGAGGTCTGAAGTATGATTCATATTGAGGTATAAATATATTTCAAAATCTGCTAGTGAACTAGAATTTGGCTAAGAAATAACTGAACTTAAAAATACTGGAAAAGTAATCAGCAGTCAAAAAATGCAATTAAGACTTTTCCTGTAAAGCATCCCATTTAAGTTTAACCAAAACCTAACTGATTAATGTGTAAAGAAACCTAGAAGAAGCATCTGAAAAGTCTCATTAAGCTGCCCTGTGTCTGGGCATTAGAGGCTATACAGAAAAAAATGCTTCAAGACAGAGGGTGTTGAATTAAGGGAATTAATTTGCTGCTTCCTCCTCACCTTCTTTTAACAGTCCACCTACTCCTACTCCTACCCTGTACTCCTACTTTTTGCAGGATTTTACATGTCAGTATTTTAATGTCCAGTCACATTATATCAACATGTCCACATGAAGAAACTTCTGCGTTTCCACATATGCCATTATACCTGTGAGTGTGGAATATTAAAAGACTGGCAATTTGTGGACTGGTAAAAAATTAGTGTTTAAAATTGTCATTAAGAAGCATTTTTAAGTAGAAAGAAAACAAGGAAATGCATTTTAATAATAAATATGTTTTAATGGGAAAATATGTTTAATGGGAAAAATATTTCTTCTCATAAAATTGTTCACCTACATCACCAGATCCACTTACATCGATGTGAACTGGATCTATCACTCAGAACCACATCAATGTAAGCTCCTTAGCTCAGTTTTGGGCACTAAAACAGACACAGTTATAAAGTTGGATCCACATTACATACAATGAAATATATACCTGTATTCTGACTTAAGTCTTAAATAGCTTCTATGTGATTAATACTGAAAATGAATTCAGGCAGAGATTATATTCCTTTTTAAAAATAAAAATAAAAAATAAAAATAAAGCTTTTCCACAACTACTGTCTCCCCTCTCCACCCACCCCCCCCCCCCCCCCACGCCAAGTTGAGTACATTTTCTCATAATCATTTTTATTATACTTGCACAATTTCTATCTGTGATTGAAAGAGAAATCCAAGTGTTGTTGAAGTCTAAGGCCAAACTCCCTACCAGGGATCTTCATAGGATCATATGATGAAGAAAATGAGTGTTTATATCAAGAAAAGTGGTGTAGTGAACAGGCAATTGTGTATCATTTGTTTTCATGTTCATTTAAACATGTGAACCTGTAAACTTTCTAATCTGTAAAAAATCTCAAATACAAAAGCGTATCAGTATCCTTTAATCTCTGTCACATCTAGAGTTGATACCTACGATTCTACTGTTTATATATTAATCAGTATAATCCCCTTTTTGTACAAAACTGTTGAGCCTTTTCCTCTGGATATGAATCTGAGAATACTAGCACCAAGAAAACCATTAATGAAGAGGAAATAATAAAAGGCAATG